ATTATAAAATAATATTATATAATATATTTTATCATATATAATATTACAAAATAATATTATATAATATATTTTATGTATATAATATTATAAAATAATATTATATTATATATATTTTTATAATGTATTTTATCATATATAATATTATAACGTAACATTATATAATATATTTTATAATATAATATTATAAATAATATAATGATAATACATACATTATAAAATAATACGAAAATATTATAAAGGGATCGGAGAAGACCGCCAGCTGAAATCTGACGGATTAAACTCGGCCCCGGTGATTTCGCGTGCGCATTGTTTCGCAAGTTGGCCGTGCTGTCACGCGACCAGTCCCCCAATCGAGTCACGTTCCCCAATTAAGTGGTCCGATGGGAGCCGGTGACACCATATCGGAAGTCAGCACGCATCTCGATCGATCATCCGGCCAGATTCGAGCGTCTGCCGCCGGAACTCTTTCTAGATTAAAATGTCCGATGCGCGCGTGTCCAGGTCGGCGAGCAATTTGCCCCTCGTAAATTCGGCCGCTGCTGACTTTCGCAGACTGTTCGGAGTTACGCAATCCGGCACGCACGGGAAAAGTTAACACCGGCGTTAAATTGATCGAGATCAGAGAAGACGCGTTACACAGCCGCTTCCTATCTCGATCGCCGGACGTCTTCATCCCCCTTCGATCGTCCCTCTTCCCGTCGTCTCGCGTTCCGTCGTCGTCCGCTCGTCGTTTCAGTCACGTGTTGCGAAATAATGCGAACGCATTGACTGATTTAAGAGAAATTGAAAATGACTGAAAATTGGCCAACTTTGACTGACGATAACTCCGTAAGAAATCATCGTAGGGCGATGACATTTACTTGAAATTGAAGCTTGAAACCTCTGCTTTGAAACGATGTTTTTAGATTTTTATTTTGACACATGCACATCGCGGTAACCATTCAAATATAACCATAGAAAAACCACCCCTATCCACGAGGCCATGTTCGAGGATGGGCAAGTTCGATGAGATGCACGGATGTTGTAAAATTTTTCTCGGAGATGCTGTTTACGGCCGAACGAACTTTCATCCTTCTTCTTTAATTTGAGGGAAAAGAAACGCGGCTGCGATTTTTTTTCGCGACGTTACAGCACTTCAAAGTAACGTACGATAATCGCTGACAAGAATGCAAGGTTGACTTTGAAGTGCTGTAATTCCGCGAAGGAAAATCGCAGCTACGTTTCTTTGCTTTCAAATTGAAGAGGAAGGATGGAAGTTCGTTCGACCGTAAACGGCATCTTTGAGAAATATTTTGCAACGTTCGTGCGTCTCGTCGAACTTAGTCATTTTCGATAGGATAAGCATGGCCTCGCGGCTAGGGGTGGTTTTTCTATGGTTATATTTGAATGGTTTACCGCGATGAGCATGCGTCAAAATAAAAATCTAAAAACATCGTTTCAAAGTAGAGGTTTCAAGCTTCAATTTCAAGTAAATATCATCGCCCTACGATGATTTTTCACGGAGTTATCGTCAGTCAAAGTTGGCCAATTTTTAGCAATGATTTCAGTCGGACTGGTGCTGCCATCGGTGTCGAATTATGGAAGCATAATATACTCGATTCTGAATAACTTACCTGAGTTCTTAAAGATGTGTCCAGTTGGTGCTGCCATCGGTGTCGAATTATGGAAGCATAATATACTCGATTCTGAATAACTTACCTGAGTTCTTAAAGATGTGTCCAGTTGGTGCTGCCATCGGTGTCGAATTATGGAAGCATAATATACTCGATTCTGAATAACTTACCTGAGTTCTTAAAGATGTGTCCAGTTGGTGCTGCCATCGGTGTCGAATTATGGAAGCATAATATACTCGATTCTGAATAACTTACCTGAGTTCTTAAAGATGTGTCCAGTTGGTGCTGCCATCGGTGTCGAATTATGGAAGCATAATATACTCGATTCTGAATAACTTACCTGAGTTCTTAAAGATGTGTCCAGTTGGTGCTGCCATCGGTGTCGAATTATGGAAGCATAATATACTCGACTCTGAATAACTTACCCGAGCTCCTAAGAATGAATCCAGTTGGTGCTGCCATCAGTGTCGAATTATGGAAGCATAATATACTCGATTCTGAATAAGTTACCCGAGCTCCTAAGAATGAATCCAGTTGGTGCTGCCATCGGTGTCGAATTATGGAAGCATAATATACTCGATTCTGAATAACTTACCCGAGCTCCTAAGAATGAATCCAGTTGGTGCTGCCATCGGTGTCGAATTATGGAAGCATAATATACTCGATTCTGAATAACTTACCCGAGCTCCTAAGAATGAATTCAGTTGGTGCTGCCATCGGTGTCGAAACGTGGAAACACGTAGGAATCGGTCCTCACCGACGCACGTAAAACGCAGAGTGTGGCAACCTCGCTATTCTATCTTCCCAACCGTAAAGTGGCGACATCGCCAAACGAGTCCAGTTGGTGCTGCCATCGGTGTCAAATTCTGGAGTACGATTGGCGGGAATCGCAGCGGGAATCACAGGGAGAACCGAGTGTATAGTGTATATTTTAACAAGTGACCATATCGCAGCTTATCTGCTTCTAATGCACGTTATAAGTTTCTTATCTTTCGAGAATAACTGTTAGATTGAATATCAGTTCTCGAACAATACGTAAACATTATCGCGGTGCTGGTATCAGCACAGGTGTCTGTTACGCAGCCATATTTAGGGGTTATGTTCGTTTCAATTACCCGGCACGTTGAAATACAACGATAACGTGTTGTGGTGGTTCGAAGAAAGCAAAAAGTAACTGCTCTTGGCACACAGGTGTGCTACGTGAAGAGGTAAGTAGATATAATTTATTGTAACTGTGGCTAATACACGGTGATGACATCGATATTTTTACAGGTTTATGCAAATCAATTCTGTGCGGATATTGTCTGCGAAGCCTACCGTTCCGTCATGACGAATTTAAGCCGGTTTACCGGTATATTCTGCTGCGTCTTCGTTTTTATATTCAGTGTCTGTTGCGAGGATGAAAATTATTTTGGAAATAGGTAAGTATAATTGTTGCTTTCCCTCTCTTTCACTGTAATTCGCGATAAATTATTAATCGTTGACGGTATTTTGCAGGGATTTCGATGACATGATTGATCCACATTCGTTTTCCTACAACAAGCACAGCAAAAGTATGAACGACGAGATGGGGATAAGTGGCAGAAGGTAAATGCAAAATATATTTTCTTATATCTGGCAGCTTTCAATTAATTTTATTTCGTCGTTTCGTACAATATATTACATGTGCTTATTTATTGCATTAGCGACTATTTTATCTGATAAGATAATAATTTGTAACGAATACCATGATTATTGACATATTTAGCAAAGATTATACAAGGGAACACGATGAAGATAAAAAAGACTGTAACTGTGTAAAACCTGTAGATAATTCCGAGAATCAGGCAGCCGTCTTTTATAAGCGCCTCATCAATATGATGTTATTAAACATGAATATAAAGGTACTAAAATAATTCAGTGTTCGAATTAAGCCCAGAGTGGTGACACTAATCAAATTAATTCTTTATCAGTAACGACGACATGCAGTTTAGTAGCGATAATTTCTAACTACACATTGATACGGAATCGGTTCGATGTCGCATCAGTGACATTAAAACTGTGCTCACCGCTCGAAGGTTTAATACTGTATAAAAATAGGTCTCTACGCGTGTGCTAGGATTTGATACGTTGATTTCTGATAATAGCAGGAGAGCGATGTATTATTGGTAGGTACGTTAGAGATCATAATGACTCCCACACAAATGGAAATCTTGAAAAACTTTCATACACAACCAGCTTCCTTAAGAGAGGTCGATGAAATATTAAGCATGACGATAATAAAACCGAGCGATAACCTATATCGCTTAGACAGCATCACAGACTTCCTCGGCGAGCAGTTCGAAAGATTCGGAATGGCTTTTCAGACTGTATTGGAACATATCGGAATGGCATTTTGGACTGTATGGAAACATGTAAGGAAGTCCACGTTCAATCGTTGTCTCGCATTTCCGTTCAGATTTGGATACACAGATGTCTATAATATATCCTATAACCTTCGATACTACAGCCTGACGTACTTCCATTTCTATCTGTACTGTTGCTGATCGGTCTTACGTTGAGAATGATCAGATACGGCCATGGTATTTCAATGTTCATTCTTATACAAATCATATTCGTAGTGAGTTTCCTAATGACTTGGTGGAATCTTATACAAGTGAGTTGGATTCGTAAAACATAAAAATCAAGATCACAAGAACTTCCGTCGTAATTAAATCTTCGATTAAATGTTCCAAAAGGAGGCGGAAATTAAAGCTATGGCGGAACAAATGAAATTTTCGAATATCCCGATATCATGTCAGCCAGACAAAATGACTATATGGGATAAGTTCGTGTCCTTCTTAAGCGGTGAGTGCATTCATAAATGGTGTAGAACGTAGAACATGAGTAATCATGTCGCGACATTCCTCTGGATTAATTTTACAGCCAACGACGACTGCGAGAAATATCACCAAGCAATGATGTCTAATCCAAAACTGAAAGTCACACCGGCTCATGCACTGTCGCATTTATTTTCCACGGTCACGCTTCAACCAATCATTCACATGGGGACTGCTGTGTCTGGTTTTATAACTAATGCAACAGGTGAACATATTTGGATTACAGGATCAACGATTCAACAGACTTCGAATTCTTCATGTCACATTCTTCTTCTCAGACGATTTGCCATGGCTGTACGGCTGGCTCGTTAAATGTTTGCTTTTCCTTTGCGTCGGTATCGTTATAATAATGTTACCGATCTTCTTGTCGGGCGGATTTGTTGATTTCGGCATGGGGCCGCTGTTCAAATTCGCCATTAGCTTTCACAAAAAGCAAGGACAAGGTAATCCATTAGAATACGATAGCAAACGAGAACCCGTGAAAATATATCTTCAGGTAATGCATCCCGCCTAAGTACAATCGTTGTTGCTTCGTAGTTCTATCCAGTAGCGTTATCTAGATTTTTATTCGGTTTTTATTCGCTTCGGACAGCAAGATAATCCATAAGATACAGACTTCTTCGCAGGTACATGGCGCGAACGCGCCGAATATAATGGACGTGCCAGTGGCAGCGGACACGCCGGCTATAACGTGTACGCCAGTTACAACGAACGAGCCCGCCGTAGAGCAATTGATAAAGTTCGATGAATCCGAAGACGAAGTTGAACGAGGAATCGATAAATGCGACGCCGAAAATCGTGACTCCAGGAGGAGGAGGAAATTATCGAGCGAACTTAAAAAGCACGATGGAAGTGGGGACGCACAACTAAAAGTGGTTGCATAAAGGAATGCTTTATTTATGTGCCGGTATTTAATATTTCGAATTCGCATTGATCCAGCCTGTACAAATATATTTAATTGGATTCGCGACGCCTGTTTGAAGTGATCGTTTAAGTATTGATTTCTTTCTTGTTTTATCGCGTGGCTTTTACAGCGAAAGAGATAGTATTATTATTTGTTACAATGATCGCTCTCGTGACGCTTAGGAGCTAAGTATTGAAACAATTTCTCATCTGTGTGATGATAGTTCTCTTTGTCTCTCTCTCTATCTTTGTAACTATTAATTTAAAACTATATTTTTACCATATATGAAATCGTGTCTTAATTTATTCGAGTACCAGCTCTATGCGAATTTCCAAATGACCAATAATATTTGGCTCTATACTGTCGTCCTCGCCGTGTTGAATATATTATTATATATTATTATACAGGGTGTCCCACAATTATTTTAACAGCCGAAAATGAGGGGTAGCTGAGGTCATTTGAAGTAACTTTTTCCTTTGCGAAAATGCAATCCGCGGCTTTGTTTACGAGTTATTAACGAAAAACACTGGCCAATGAGAGGTGACGGTGCGAGAGAGAGGGTCCGCGAGGGAGTCCGCAGCACGAGGCTTTGACAGAAGGTCGGGACGGACTCGAGCCGCGTTCGAAGTATTGAACAAGTCACGAAGCGAGAACTTTCCGGATTTTTTTAACTACATAACAGTGATATTTTTAAGAAAAACGCTGTTCACCTTTACTTTAGAACGTCTGAAGAATATTTACTAATTTTTCGGACCCGAAATAATATGAAGTTTAACCGTGACAGCTGTTTTAATTTTCTGGTGTGCATGACACCTCGTGTGTACCATATGAAATTTTTATGCAAGGTGTACAGTGAAGATTAACGAATGATTTGCAAAGCTGATTTAATAATAAATAAGGGACGTAAAGGATTTGTTTATTAGAGAGATATGAAAAATATTATCAGTAAGAAACTCACCCATTTAGTTGAGGATGCATTTGCTGGCTGAAATTCA